GTGTGTGTGTGTGTGTGAAAGAGTCAGGCACAGTCATGTCTTTTTTTTTTGTGTAGAGATGTGTTACAGTATAGCGAACATGAGACCACATACAGAAGGGTGTTCCGGATGTGCGCACTGTGTTGTTGTTCGTCCTTTTCCTTTTTTGAGCACTGTGTTTTTGTTCGTTCTTTTCCCTTTTTGTGCATGTGTGACTCACCTTGTGATGGGCCGAACACTACCGGTAGTTACTGCCAGTTGTATTGCAAGGATGAAAGAAGTACCTTTTGCGAAACGGCACCATTAAAGGTCTTCAAGTTGGTGTGTGTGTTCTAGTTTATAGTGTATTTTGTATTTTGGTGCTGGCGTTACTTTCGCTCCTCTTGTGGCCCCCTCTGTATTTTGGTGCTGGCGTTACTTCGGTGTTGGCGTCACCTATGACTCTCTGAGGGTGGGTGTCTGGTATAACATTATTGCTTACGCTCGTTTTCTGCCTATACCGTTTACCGACTGTGTAGATGTTCTACTGTTGTTCTCCTTTGAAGTTTGAGCCCCTAGCGAGGCACTGAGGGTGTCTTGGAAAAGGTACTGATGGCAGTGATCGATCCATAGACTCCATATGCTCGACCCGGATTTTGGGGGGGGGGGGACTGTCATTGTTTTTTTTTCTTGGAGTGGCGCTTTGGCTTTGAGCCTTTGAGGTCCGATGTGAATCTGAAGTTTGCAAAGTTTTTTTCGGTGAAAGTGGTGTGAGCAGGTGATGGTCCGATGGGATTTCGCTCTATAATAGGGGAGCTTCGCTGTGGTGGGCTTTCCTGATGCGTGGTTGTGTGGGTGGCTTCTCTGCTGGGGTTGTATCTTGTTTAGCGTCGCGTCTTCTCTGGCGGATGGCTGGGTGGGTGGGTGGGTGGCTTCTCTGCTGGGGTTGTATCTTGTTTAGCGTCGCGTCTTCTCTGGCGGATGGCTGGGTGGGTGGGTGGGTGGAAGTTAGACATTCTCAGCGCCACTGGGGGTTGGGATGCGTCCTTGCTAGATGTGGCCAGTTGGATTCGCAGTCTGGGGATTATAATAGATGAATGGAGGCCCGGACCGGATTGGGAGGATTGATAGGTTGATGAATGGATGGTGAGTGAGTGATATAGCTTCTCTGATTCCGAATTCGAAAGACTCGAGTGTACCAATAAGGGAAACTTGAAGCAGGGTCCGAGGCCCATTTAAGCTGATTCGTCGTTTCTCACCGGCGTTCGATCAACTTGGTCTTCGTTGGTCTACGGCCGGAAATTGGAGAATTCAAATTGAATTTCGGGTTAAGTGGGACGTGGTCCCAGATGTTATGAATGTTAAGCACTACTTGAGGGTGGTGTGAATAGAATCCTCTTCCTGTAAGTCCTGAGGGAGAGAGTCGTACATGTCGGAGGCTTTTTGTGTCTCGTAAAGGAGGAAGAGTCGTAAGTGAGGGAGGTCTTTTTTTGTGTGTCTGAAGCTCTGAATGAATGCTGTTGGCGCAACTTCGCCTGGACAGTTCCTTCAGCCCCTTTCAGGAAACTTTTCTCTGGAACAGGTTGCTTTAATGGCTTTTCAGCAGTCACTGTGGCTATAATTGGGAGAAGTGTGTGTGTGTGTGGGTGTGTGGGTGTGTGGGTGTCCAATTGTTGATGTCATGGTCTTTCATTCTGAGTTGATTAAAGTCATGCTATGCAGCTGCACATAGTGTATTTTAGTGGAACACAAGTTTGGGGCCAAACCATTTGGTCCTCGACCAGTGTCTATAGTACCATTGATTATAGACTATGGGGGGGGAATGCATTTGGTCTAGGACCTTGATCCACCACTCGCCGTATGCACACAAGACAAAAAAAATGGCGGTGTATCTCTTTCAATGTTGTCGCAGAACATTCGTTCTCATTTTGCACATCTCGTGAGGGGTATAGTGAGGCCCAATAGCCTATTGGAGATTCGGGGAAGAATCGAAGATCCCACACAGACATAAGCAGACCAAATGAACGATATGAAGTGGGTGTTTCTTATTTGGGGGGGGTGGGGGGTGGAGGGGGGGAAGGGTAAGTCTTAGAAGAGTATAGTACGGCATAAAAGAAATTGTGAGGAGGTGAACTGCAGGCAATACCAGACACTTTGATACACGCTGAGAGCATACTTAACGGGTTTTTGACTGAGCTCTGGACGTAATTACAGTCAGGTATATCAAACTCTGGTTGTAATTGATATCAGGTATATTCAGGAAAGGCAGAGTGTGAGTATGCCTTGATAGATAGGTACACTGCTGATTGCTGCTAAACAGATAGTCTGCGCTGCAAAAAGTCTAGTTAGAAACATGTGCAGTGGGAAGAAAGAGAAGACTGCAGTCACGGTTTCTTGTTTTTCCTTTCTGTTTTCTTTTCTTTTGCAGTCGGGTGTAATATCAAGCTGGAGGAATCAGGAGGATAGACTTGTTTTGAATGTTTTCGCCTTTTATTTTTTTTTATTTTTTTTTTAGAAGTGATCATTTTTTGGGATGGTGGAACACAAAAGTTTCAGCAGACACATTGGAGTGGCATTGAGAGTCCAATTGGGAAGAGCGCAGAAGGCAGTTGGCACAGTGAACGCCTGGTTGGATGTGCGCCGACTTGTCAGGATGCTGAAGCTTCAATCATGTAGTCTGTAGTCTGTAGAGGTCCCGACTGTTGTTGTTGTTGTCCTCCCACCGTAATTTTTATCATTGTGACTGTATCTGACCTGGAAGTTGCCTTGTATACGTTCATGATTAGCGAGCGCTGCGCTGTGTTGTGTTGAGCCTGCCGATTGTGTAAAATTGAATGGTGTGGTGTCATCCCACAGCAATTCCATTCGAATTTGAATCCAGCCCTGGCAGGTGACTTGGTTCATACACAGCTTTGTTCTGAACCTGGTCCAGTCCTGACTGAGCCTGCTCCTCCGGGCGACCTGATTGATAACGTCAGTCAGTTGACGCGGTTCCGATAAGATTGCGACTTTATTCCCCAAAAAAAAAAAAAAAGATTGCCATTTAACCAGTGAAAGTATTTTGAGGGCTTTCTTCTTCTTCTTCTTTCTCCTTGTTTTGTTTTGTTTCTTTTTGCAAACGAGTCCCTTGAGAAAGAGGGCAGTTCGAATCCCATTTGGGGATGAGAGCAGTCGGTGCAATTGGTGAGTGGGGAGTTGTACCTCCAGGATTTGAACTTGTGATCTGTTTATCAAGAGGCACATGTTCAAATCCTGAAGGATCTGTTTATCAAGAGGCACATGTTCAAATCCTGAAGGTTCAAATCCTGGAACAGACGAAGAGTCACATGATTTGGACGTTCAGGATTTGAACTTGTGATCTGTTTATCAAGAGGGACATGTTCAAATCCTGAAGGATCTGTTTATCAAGAGGCACGTGTTCACATCCTGAAGGCTCAAATCCTGGAACAGATGAAGAGTCACACGATTTGGACCTTCAGGATTTGAACTTGTGATCTGTTAATCAAGAGGGACATGTTAAAATCCTGGAGGTACAACTGCCGATGCGATTGGTGAGTCTGTGAGTTTCACCTATACCGGATAGCAGGCATAGGCTATTCTGGTCTTCTGTTGAAGAGAATACATTTTTTTTCTAGCTTGTTTATCACTACCGTCTTCACCGGAAGAGACGGTCACTCTGAAGAAAGAGAAAAGCGCGGTGGTCATTGTCACTGCACCTGGACTGCAATTGCACCAGATACAGCCACATTCTCGTAAAGAGGGCAAGAAAGGCCCGGTGTTCATTGTCACTGCAGCTGGACTCCAATTGCACCAGATACAGCCACGTTCTGGTAAAGAGGGTAGTGGTGCGTTGTCTGGAAGCAGTCCAGCTTCTGAACTCTGGGAAAATCTTGAGTGCGTCTTTTGAGCAGCTGTGCCTATCTTGAATGGTTGTACCTGAATGTGGCTGCACCTGCCTCATGGTTGGACCTGAATGTGGCTGCACCTGGACTGCAATTGCCCCAGATACATCCATCATCAATCAAAACGCAGGGGCAGGTGCAGCGACAATGTCCAGCCTTGTGGTTGTGCCTTAGTTGTGATGGATGGTGTGGCATAGGAATAGGACACTCCTCAGAGGCAGGCAGATGGGGTGATCGTGAATGGTGAGGCCCGAGTGAGGCCGTGTTCGTGGTTGGAAAGCATGTACCTGGTCATGTTAGCGGTGCTGTTCATGATTTGTTAGCATGAATGTAATACCAGTAGCGGTGCTGTTCACGATTTGTTAGCATGAATGTAATACCAGTGGGGCCCGGCTTGAAGACGGGGGGGCAAAGCGTCAAATGGAGAGAAAATGATGATATTCAGTCAATGTTGTTAGGCTTGCAGTGACAGTAGGTGCAGGGCTGCAGGAGAGGTTGGGTGCTGGAGTTGGGTGGGTGGGTAGGGTGAGCGGTGGGCTTGGTGTAGAGGGACTCTGAGGGAGGGTGAGTGGTGGGTGGGGGTTTCTGATGGGTGCTGGAGTTGGGTGGGGGGGTCTTGAGATAGATTGATCTTGGTGTAGAAGAGGATGAGCGGTGGGCTTGGTGTAGAGGGAGGGTGAGTGGTGGGTGGGGGTTTCTGATTCATTCGTAGGTAGGTGTGTAATGTTTGTGTGTGCGCGTGTGGATGGGTGAGTGGTGGTGCGGTCTCACGGGGATATGTATGGTAGGAGGGAAAAGCTGGAAGCGAGAGGGAGAGGGAAGTGGGAGGGGAAAGGGGAGCAGGGCAGCAGCTGGGGGGAGGGGGGGTTAGTAGTGAGAAGTACAGGGAACGGGGATACCTAGCCACACTAGTGTTCCCTAGCTGTGGGGTATTCTTCTCTCTCTCTCTCTCTCTCTCTCTCTCTCTCTCTCTCTCTCTCTCTCTCTCTCTC